CATAGAACTACAATCGTAATAGAATCTGAAAATTGGCACAACTATAGAAAACCTATTACAACATTTCACAAAAACAGATGATTAGTTTTGTGTATGGATTTCTGTTTCACGTCTCTGTAAGGAAATAAAAATTTGTATGCCTCTTTAGAGATTAAATATTATTTCAGAGGTGACTTATGTCAACAAAAAACAGACTGATTTCCTCATCATGAAATTTCTTGGCAGCAAAGCAAGATCTAAGAGATACTGGCATGCTTAATGAGGAGTAGACAATTGCTAGATGGAATACTGTGGGCAAGAGTGAAGAAGCTGTAATTGGTGGTATGGCAGTAAGATGAGTATTAATTCACCAGCTATATGGCTGGTTTTTACCAGCAGGATCAGCATTTAGCTAGCAGGTACCAAGCAACCCCTATTCAATAGAGTTCTGTGGTGGTTCACTCAAATCAAGTTCTTCCTTAGCGTAAAGGAAGATGTTAAATGGGTGAAAACGTGTAACACTACTTCCTGAATGATGTGCGTTATTTAAGAATGCAAAGTTCAAGAGTATGTTATAGATGAGCTGGGTTAGAGAGAACAGATTTAAAATGTCTCGACAAGTATCTTACCAATGCATTTCTTGGGTTTCAGAGATCTGAATGCCAGTAAATTCATCATTCTGGAAGGACAAGAGAGTATTAGGATCACAAGAATGCTATCTTCAGAAACTCTCTGAAGTTGGGGAGGCAGCAGAAGGTACCCACGCAGCTGATAAGCTCATATTTTCTCTTTATAGAAACCCTCAGCAATGAACATTCTAGCAGCAATATCTGTTTTTGGTATCTGTGAAAAATCAGTCCAAGTTTCAAACCATTTATCTAACCAAGTCAGAACAACTACCTGAGAACACGATCTTATACTCCTCTCTCCCTTCTTGTTGTTTTGCTACATCCTTATCTCCTGTGGTTTCTAGCAAACACTCACCAATGCAAAACTTTCACTAAATAAACAAATAAATTCCCACACGCTAGTGCCATCAGAACTACTTTCTGCATGCCCAGGTAGTCTCTGTGGCAATCAGCTATGTGGCATACATGTATCCAGAGTGCTAAACTTTTTCAGAAGCACTGTCACTACTGCTTCCAAAGGAGTAGAAGGTGACATGGACTTGACATAAGTCTCAAGTCACTTTCCAATCAGAATCATTGCCACAGCCTGACTTTCAGGCCAGCACAAAAAAATGCATACAAAAATGGTTATAGAACTTTACATGGATAAATAACTTAGTAAGGTGCTGCACTTTTGGAATACCTTGCTTAATTAACTTTCATGTTTTGCTTATTAACCTTCTGATGTCCTGTGAAGTCAGAGACTGCAGTTTAACTGACTTACAAAATAATTTAAATATATAAGTGGATTCCAAGATACCTTAAAAATATATTGACCCTTTAAGCAAACGGGCCACTTGAAGCCTAACAACAACTTCTCACTTATACTCTGCTGGAATATTTATCCAGTTTAAAAGACGAGCTTTAGTAATCTTACAACAGTTTAACAACATAAAGTTACTGGCAAGCGTGTAAAAGACAGGCTGCTTGTATTTCAAAGTCACAGTTCCTAGAGCAATTACCAGCATAAATTTCTTGATGCAGTATTTATGCAATAACTTGCAATGGGAATGGTGAAGCAAGCCTGAAGAAGCATGTGCATGCTCAGTGTGCTCCAACTGATACATCACACTGTATGTGACGCTGGTAGGTTGCCCAGATTAACAGATGCAGGTCCTCCTTCAGGGAAGCTGACATGACAAATCTCTCAGAATATGATGCCAAGAGTCATATACAGAACTTGAATGAAGTCATAGAAAAAGATTCTCTTCAGAGTTATTTACTGAGCAGTAACCTACAACTTTGATGTGAGAATACATCTATAAACCTTATGTTTGATAAATGTTCTGCAGTTTAAAAATGAAAAAAAAAGTCTGCTGGCATTTGTGGTATGTTCTTAGTACATTTAAAATTTTGCAGCTCGATCATATGCAATGTTATTTGTTTAAAGAAACTTCTGAACATTCCAATATTATTTACAAATTTAAGTTACTTTTTTAGGAACTTAGAAACACATTTTAATATCTTGACAAATAAAAGTTAGATTTCAACAAACTATTTCCACTTACTCATTGTAATTATGCAACAGAACCACAAATTTTGCCTTCCTGAGGGATATGCAATCCACAGCTATTTCAGAAGAACAAATACACACAACAGTTCTAAGGAAGAAAAGAAAATGGTGTTTTGATGCCAAGCTTCTCTTCTTGCCTAATTGGCAAGAAACAAAACCCAAAGTACCTTCAGCAAATTATTAATTCTGAGGTCATAAACCTGTAGGATAAGTTAAATTCTCATCTTGACAAGTCCAATTAACTCCAATAAGGTCTGCTCATGGCACTGAACTATTTAAACAGTCAATAGCTTTACTGGGTGACCAGTGGAATTTCTCAAACACTAAGGCCTTTAGGTGAGGAAAGTAATATCTAGTGGTGTTGTGCTTTAATCATCATAACTGGTTGTTCCTTATTTACCTTAGAGGTAAACGTGCTGCATAGAAATGTGTTTACCTGTAAAACAACTCCATCAAAATTCAGTCAGGAATTTTTCACATACAGCAAAGGCAGATGCAGTAAAGAGGACTCGCCGTTAACTCTAACTTTGGTTTCAAAGCCTTCTAAGGTTTGTCAGATTTTAACAGTATACTGGCACAGCTGTTCACTTTAGGCCATAAATTAACAAAACTCACACCTGCAGTTTAAGTCCTTTGATTAGAGCACCTGTGCCTGGCAGGGCAATACAGCTTCCCTGGCTTTAAATGATATTTTCTATTCTACTGTGAGCATTAAACGTACTGAGTTCCAGCTATGTGTATAAAATCATTTCCCAGCCAAATCTCCCATGTTCAGTGGAAACAAAAATTCAGAGAAAAAATACTAAAGAAGATTAAGCTTTTCACCCCTTTAACATCTCCACTGAAACGGCGACCCATGACATGGTCCACGTTATATATGTTTCATAACCCTAGGGGACTCTCAAGCCATCAAAATTTCATTAGCCTCACAGCAGTCCCAGTACATTCTTAAGTTGGACTGCTGGTCTCCCTATTAATAAATAAATCAACCGTAATCCTTTTTTGTGACTAAACTCTTCATTGAAGTTGTATCAAACACCAGACATTCCTTGCATATTTTTAACTGATGCAGAATACTGTGTTTTCTAACATATTCACAGTCTTCTCACACATGAAAAAAACTAACATTATAGCTTTAAGCTGATGGAGGAAGTTTTAGCATATCATACTCAATTTCCTTTTTTCAGAATTTTAAATATAGAGTTTATTTAAAAGTATACCAAACCTATGGTACTTCTGAAGCAGTTACCTCTTTGGTAACATAAAGATAGGACTCTCTATGAAAATAGTGTGTGTGCATGTATAAATAAATATGTAGTTTTGAGATCATTAACCTAGGGTTTTACAAAAGGTTTAAGAGATTCTGTTTCAGCATAGACCTTTCAAAAGGAAAAGCACAGGACTGCCCAACAACTTATTCTAGATTGCTTTGCAGCTGAAATACCAAATGTCACCCAATAGAAACTCCACTGTCAAAATGAGGGAGGCAAATAGTCCTCCTCTTTCAAAACTTGCCTCAGTCTCAAAATAAGTTTTCCAAGCATGACACTAGACAACTCTGAACACAGAGCTGTCTGCTCAGGTACCATGCAGCATTAAGTCCAACACAAAAAGGAGGATCTGACCTGAGACACCTGTGTTGCACAGCCATCTTCAGGTAGAACCAGCCACCAGGGGAAACACAAATATGAATACTACCAAAATATAACTTTGGTTTTGTCTTCTCAAACTGAAGTCAAAATAATACATTGGGAGAACTAAACTTTACTGCTTGTAGTTTAAAATCCAAGTGCATTGTTTATTTTAAGGATTACATGCATACACACCTACATTGCTGTTTCCCACAATGTATTATAGCTATTGTCAGAGGACAGCAATAAAATTGCTCTGACTTTTGTGCAGCTGATCAGACAGGTCTAATAAATTAATAAAATGACATGCAGGCAATAGCCAACACTAATTTTCATTGTTACATATTTTTCTTTATTCTTCTTTTGAATCTGTCATATAGAAAGTCATGAAGCTAATAGAACAATCATTTTAATTCTAGTAAAGCTTAAAATCTACTGCAAATAAAAAGAAGTTAAAGATAAAATGTTTTCCAAGATTTGTGCATTTAACACCACATTATATTCTGTTCATAACCTCAAGAGGAGTTAAAAAAAGTTTTGAAAAGCTTTAAAAACTAATCAGTCAAATGTATTAACCTATTTTCATTTAAACAGTAAGACTTAATATACAATGGTGATATCCCACATCCTACAAAGCTGCTGGTTTAGATTTTTTTTTCAGATTTTAATTGCACAGTAATCCAGTCCCCCAGGCACATCAAAGGCCACATGTCCCTCTTCACCACAATTCCAATTGCTCTCATCAACTAAGAAGTTTAAAGCACAATCAAATTTGTTTTCCAATCACATGAGCCATGTTAATAAGCCATTCTTTGTGCTCATTCATCCATTCTAAGATTCTGCAACTTCTCCAAGATGTCCTGAAGAACAGTATACAATGAAACTTCTGAATGCAAGCTGCCCTGGGGAACAACTTAGCTGTTCCCCAAAGGGTAACAGGTGACATGGCCTGAGATAATACAGAGCTAATCCTTTTTGTGATTAAATTCTTTCAAAATTACAACTAAAACATCACACCCAAAGGTTGCATTAGTTAGGACTGACACTGAACACTGACTTTTCTGAGAAGAGGAGGGGGGAAAAAACCAAACCAAAGAGAAGGTAAATAATTCAAGGCCATTCCTTTAATGATTTAAAAATTACTGAGTGTCAACCAAAACAGCAAATAAACACATTGATTTATATATGGGCATATGCATAAAAACTTACCATTTTCACTGTCGGACTTGTTTTCATGTTCGGTATCAGTCAGAGTGAGGGCTGAGTTGGAACGGCTCGACAGACAGGAACTGCGCCCTGATTTGACCCCCCTGCCCCAAAGTCTCATGGCATGCTCTGGAGACATCACTCCTTCATTTTCAGTATCAGCATCTGACCCTGCACTGATAGAGTAACCTCTGTGGGGGAGCCCCATTTCCGCACAAAATGCCAGTCCGCGACGAGCTGCTGGTTCACAAACTCCTAACTGCCTTAGGGTAAAATTCTGTCCTGATTAGGGGAAAAAAAAATAACAAAAGGTGAGAATTGCATTTTTTTTTTTCTTTTAAAGACCCTAAAAGTAAAAACTCTTCATGTATATAATGGTCTCAGATATCACATAAGGTATTTTGTCAAAACACATGTACTACAATCGAGTGGATTCTTTTGTCTCCAGCTCCCTGTAATGCCCCTTTTCATTCACACAACACCTCAGCACTGTTTCGTCATCTACTTAAACACATCAAAAGTGCTCCTGGGTAGCAAATAAACAAAACAGAACCTGCTAACTAAGAAAAGCCAATTCAGTACATGAAAGTATTAAAAATATTTTTTTAAATTTTCTAAATTATGTTTCAAAGCATAAAAGCACTTAAGGAATCTGCCAGGATTATTAGCTGGTTGGTTGGTTTTGGGATGGGTTTTTTTGTTTGCCCTGGTTAAAGGCCAAAGCAACAGGCTCTTCTCCCCATACAGATGTCACCTAATGTGGCAACGGAAAAGCTAAATGGGAACCAACTCACTTGGTTTTTATTGAATCTCTCTGCACTACTTTAAGAGACAAATACAAATAAACAGGAACACGACCACCTGTTACCTGCAAGGACTACAGTAAAGTTGTTATTTTTCATGTCACTGCATTTTGAGAAGCATTTTAGGCTTTTATTGCTGAAGCAGAGTCTGTGCATTTTAAACAGACTTTTAGCCTCTGTTTTGGGGCAGAGCAAGAGACATAAGTGAATCCCAAATGATTGTATTAATAAATTAGGAGCAATAAACTTGTGACACTTCAATAACTTAAAGTGTCTGAATTATGTGACACTCAAAAATGACTGCCTTTTTAATGGCTGTGTCTTCATCCTACTTTTATGTCTGTAGATTTAAGACATTCTATGATATATTGACACTTGGCAAGCTCTTTTGCATGCCTATACCCATAACGCTTTTCCACCCTAGCCCACAATTATTTCATAGCTCTGGGAACAAATTAGGACACACATTCAATTTTTGAATCTGACAGGCATCCTAATTTCTCCAAAATTAGTCATTTAATGGAAGAACACACTAGCAAGATAATCAAAGCTTATAATACATCAAGAACAGAATCCTATCATTCAGAAAGTAATAGAATTGCATAAGTGTGAATACAGAAGTGCAAATAATTCCAGAAATGTTAAGAGTTACTGCACTGGTCACTGACTTTTATAAAGTGAGCTAATTATTTTATTGCTGCAGCCACATGAAGTTGTTTCTTTGCGGCCAGAACTATAAATGAATTCTGACAATGACTTTCATAAATAATGAAAATCAGTTACTACAATTAGGTACAAATTTAACTACTTATTATGCAGCTTTGAATAGATATTTGAATGAAAATATAGCTGGGGAGGCAAATGTAAAGGAGTAAGCATATCTATGACTATGTTTGAACAGTGTGAAGGGTATAAGAAAGGGGATTACCATGCACACTGATAATATATTGCGATTTTTTTAAGCTGTCATGCCATGTGTATTTTCAGGTTTTATGAGAGCTAAAACTAATCAGCGAAGGAAACAGGCCAAACAAACCACCCAGTGGTAATAGGGTCAGAGCTAAAAGGAGTAAAGTATCTATAATGCTTATTATTTTGCATATTGGTAGATATATGCTAAGGGTGCCGGTCTAGAACACTGTGTTTGGTACATTATTATGTGAATCTGCATTTCCAAACAGTTGCCTCAAGTCAGATACATATACTGGAGAAGTCCATGTGCACGTGTGTGTCTACAGGTGTCTCTACACAAATTTGGAGTGGCTAAGGTGTATACACAGTTGCACATGTAACATCTTACTTGTTCTAAAAACAGGGTTTTGAGAAGAAAAATGACAAGGGAAGAGGTATTTCCAAGCAAAGACAAAGTTACTTGAATCCTTAACAAAACTACTACTGACTTCAGCGTCACAAGGTGTTAAGGCTACAGTCCTGCACAGTGCTGAGAGGTGAAGGCAAGGCAGGGTGCACACAGAAACCAAAGCTGCCTTTTAAGCCACAACAGGACCAGCTGCATCGGGTGAGCATCACAATCTGCGGCTCTTCTGGCAGCCTGCACCACACAGCCCTGGGCTCCTCCCACTGCCAAAATGGCCTCTTTGCACTCAGTCACATCAATTTGAAGATACTGTTCCACACGCGCACACACACTTTTTGTTCCCTCTTATTTTTAAGAGAAACTACTTCAGGCATTATATAAGAACATCTTCCATGATCGTTCTAGAAGATTTGATCTCAGGAACAATATACCACCTACCATCTATTAAGGGATTTTATTTTTTACTTTGAGTTCGTAACAGCTTACCTCCACGTACAATATTCCCCCCCACTTATGAATGGTAAGAAACCTCACCAAAATGACATGTCACATGGCCAAAAAAGAAAAGGGAGGCAGGTCTGAATATTGTTTTCTCATCCCATTCAACAGAATAGAGCTTTCATAGAGCTTTTCACTACACTGAGAAGTTTTACAGCATAGCCCAGAAATGTTGTAACAGCTTTAGAATCATCAGGCTACATAATCTTCTGAATTAAAGCTTTCCTAAGAGCTTCACTAAGAGGATTGTACTCCATGTAAGTTGCCTACACAAATGAAAAATAAACAAAACAACACAAAAAAAGCCCCAGACAACCTCCAAAGCCAAAACTGAAAACTTGACACAGAAAAATAAAAATATTTGTTTGTGTAGGAATTTATATCCCAAAGGAAATCATACATATGTGATTTAAAAATTTTACATCATCTTAAGATTCCTGAACAATGAAAACAGGAACTCTTCCAGGATCCAGGGGAAGCTGAATGCAGCTGGGACACAGACTAGTGGATCGCAGACTAGTTGGAAGCTTTTACTTGATAATGAACAATACAATGAAATAAAAATAAAAGCTGAAAAAGAGGTTGTAGGAGCTTGGTGGGGAAAAAAAGAGCATGAAGAGAGAATGTTCTTCTTGTGTTTATAGAGTTTCTAATTAACCTTTCCAGAATTACTTCAATGTGAGGGATTTAATCACCAGTTTCTTGCACTATACACACATTTGCAATTTCTCCCACTGACAATAAGTGCATCAAGAGTTCATAGACTTAAAAACAGCTTAAAAATATTGTAATGAACTAATTCCTGAGAAGAAAATGTAGGTACAGAATAAACAGATAGGCATAATGCTTTGTGGAGGTTTTTTCCCTTTCCTTTCAAAAAGTATGAAGTGTAAAGTAGAAACAGAATTAGACACAACATTTCAAGCAGAGTTGTTCTGGAGACACCTTTGAGAGTTTGGACTATTTGGGATGATGTGTCATGAAGTTATGTTTTAAAAATTGAAAATAATGCTGTTTACTACCACTCAGTCATTAGATACTGCATTTCTCTTGGCTAGGAATATCAATTTATGGGTATTGTATGGACTGCTTTTGTGCAGACAACAAAACTAATGTAATAACTCTAAAATAACTTTCAGATGCTTGTGCAGCAATCACTGTTAAAAACACAGCATTTGCCAACAGTAACCATACATGTCTACCTGCTATGTTGCAACTACTTTCTGTGTAAGCAATGATCCACATGTGATTGATGTACTTCCTTAACTACATCGTATAAACACATGCAAAAAAGTATATCGACATACTTTTGAAGTGCTTTTTGTGGAGCTCATTCTCAATAGCTTCAAACACTTTTTGTAGAGCAGAAGACAGTACACAGATGCATCATATTTGAAATGCTTCATCATGTCTGTACAACCAAGAGTTCAAGACTACAGACCTGATTCAGCAGTACCTTGCCTTTCTATCTCAGAAACATGACAAGTATGAACGTACGGCCCTGTTAACTGTAAACTGGCTGGCCTATTCACTTTCCTAATTCCTGAAAAACATTAGAGTTTGAATATGTGCCAGTAAAAGATGGAAAAAGCAGCTACTTTTTATATAAGAACAGGTAGCAAGACTGTCCCCTCTATTCCCAGAGCATTAGCTAGTCATGACAGGACCAGTAAGAACATGGGGTAGATGTCGTCTTCCTAGATGATCAAAGCAGAGCTGGACTGGTTTAGCAAGAATCATCATCTTTCAAGAGCAAATTCTACCTGATGTGTTAGAGGAAAATATGTAACTTCTTTGTAAATATTATTTTTTCCATTTACTGGGGCTAAAATGGTGTGGCACACCTACTTACAAAGAGGTCCTTTGTAAGGAAAGGTCTTGAGAGGAAGGACGTAGAAAAGGAAATACATGTACAGGAGGGTTACAAATTTGCTGGAAATGCAAGAATAAAGACTTTTAAAAAGCCCAGTAAAAACAGACACCTTGGATGCTTTAGAAAACTGACAAGAAGCATACAAATGCTGTCTCCAGAAGTCAGAATGTTAGGTGGGTAGAACGCAATTACACAAAAGAGAGAATGACTAATAGATGTGATACCATCCATTCTGTCACACAAAGTTCACAATATACTTAGTAAAAAGAGTTTTCAAGGCTGTACTTGCAGAATTCTGTTTGCTAGGGCGCAAGAAATTGCAGTGAAGACTGACAAGTAATGAGCTTTGCTTATGTTAACATTTTTTTTCTGATTTGGCGTAGTATTTTGCTGTTATTACTTCAGCCTGATTTTCTCTTTTGCTTTTGTGAAAATTACCTGTTAAATTTAAACCATCCTAATCCACTGTATCACATTTTCCTCCTGTTCTTAACTTCTGTGTTTTTCTTTTCACTCATCACAACCATCTTCCTTGTCACCTCTTAATCTCTATTTCTTGACCTTTCCGCTCTATTTGCTTTTCCACCTTAACCTCCTTTTCTTGTCATTATCTGATTTAAAGTGGAGCTCTAAGATTCCCATGAAAGACAGCTGCTTCTCTAATATATCCAGTAAACTACATAATAACAAAGAGCATTAAAATATATTAAAGTGCACATATACTTTTCAAATGCTGGTTTTCCACAGCAAACATTAACCACACAGTTCTCCCATTCCTTATGGATGTTCA